TCTGAAATCTGAATATTCATAACGTAATCCAAATGACGACACACGGGAAGGAGATTTTAAGACCGCACTGGCTGAGAAATGTAGCCACTGGACGCCATCCGTTCTCGAGTCAAAGATTCCCTTCCCCGTCGTCGTCGTCGTCTGTGTGGCTATCGGGTGGTTTTTGAGGTTGCCTCGGTGCTTCGGCGTAGGAGGTGAGAGTAGATCAGGGACGGGTGCATGCATTAAAGATTTCAGAGGGTCGGGGAGGCTCTGCCCCCGCAAAATGTAGGAGACAAGGTGCAAGGACCCTTACATTTTTTTTTAAAATCTTTTTATAGCTCGCCGTTACAATCTAATTACTTGATAAATCTTTCCTAATTGACTTGGTACTCACTGCTTTTGGTTGTTTGCAGTTTATTAATATTGTTGTTGCCAGGGGTTGTCGGTAATCCCACCCACCTACACCCTTCTACTTCCCCGCTGAGAAGCATACCAGTCTTTCCCGAAGACACTGTTTGTCGTCTCGGGAAGGCAGTTAATTTCTTGCACAGGAGCGAGATCTGTACGCTGCGTCCATTGAAGTATCCGGTGTCTGTCCTTTCATCGAGTCAGATATGTTTCCAGGGTGAGCTAACAGTCGCTCATCTACTCAAAATTTTCCCACTTTTTATTCATCCTGAATGTTCGTGTTCAGAACAGCTCGCTGCTGAAACCCATTCGTCATCCTGAAGCCTCATATATTCAACAAAGTTTAATATTATCTGCCCGTCTGCATCTAGGTCTCCCTAATAGTCTCTTGTTCCCTGCGTGGTACTGAACTCGCCGTGACTCCTTGATTTAATTACCAGAATAGGATCTCCTCGCGTCATTAAACCGCAAATACATTTTTCGGAACGTTATCGCGAAAACAAAACCATTCTAGCTGCAAGCTTGAAGATAATTCATCGTTGTCGGTGATCAACAGCTCAGTGACCGGAGAACGAGATACTAAGGGCCCTTGTTACAGCGAAACAAACGTCGATGACGTACGGGAGCAGGGGCTAATCTGTGCTGCGTGGCGTGGGAGGGGCAGATTGCCCGCTGCCTCACTTTTCCACGGCTATTGTGTCCTGCCGTAGTGTGTGATCTCGAATGTTCCACACACTTGCAGGAGAGACGAGGACTTTTTATTACGTATGAAACCGCAGGCTGACGTTGACTAATTCAAGCACACGCTTCAGATTACGTTTCCCAATTCATGAAGACAAAAACCGAATCATTTCCTGAAAGATAACGTTTCAACAAAATTTTATCGACAGAAATGTCAAATGAATTATAATTAAGTGGACACTCTGTCGTCGTGAGTCGCATACAACCCAAATTCTCGCCCCTGAAACAATTGGCACTTGATAATTAGCTAATTAAATGCTCCACAATGAAAATATGCGTGAAACTACATTGGGCCTAGTTACATCGTCGTCTTCAGCAAAGACCACTGTAAGTGCTGGTCTCCACTTCAACACAAGACTCTGCCAGTGACATCTTGTATCAGGAATTCCAAACTAAACTTATTAAGGCTCCTATACCCGACCAATTACGTTTATTACGTCGAGCGAGACATCGTATTTCCTTTCGTTGCCCATATTTTTCCATAAACCATGAAAATTTCTGTATAATTTAATTAGTTCATTAACTTCATTAGTTTATAGCCTAATAATTTAACTGTTAATGAGCGCTAGTATCGATCCCACTTTGCAATTCCTTCGTGATCCTAATTAATACGTTCAGAGGTTCTGTGGTCGCTTGTAGCAGGATTTTGGTGCCAATTATTAATTTGAGGATACTGACTTAAGCGTCCCGTCCATCGGCGAGAGTAGCGTCCGCTAAGTACCCTTTAAGTTGCAAAATTCTCGAAGAAATTAAGACTAGATTAAATTCAGTAAATTCCTGGTACACTGCACTTCAGAATGTCTCCTCTTTCCGTGTTTCGTCTAGCGTAAACATTGAAATAAACAAAACTTTTATTGTAGTTCTCGTTTTGCGTTGGTGTCTTAACATTAAGACAAGATGGCTGTCTTCTGGATTCTTGCGCCGTGTAGTCTGGAAGGAGACCGACGTTTCAGAGGTCCTTGCAGCCCCGATCATCGGTAAACGTCAGCAACAGCCCAGAAGACAGTCATCTTCAGCCTCTAGGTCCTCAGGAAGGTTCGTAATCCCAAGTGCCTTGGGCCTCTGTACACTTTCCAGTGCTCCGTGTCGTGTGGCGAGGGTCAGCAGGTCCGCACCGTTCAGTGCAGAGACGCCCGGAGCGCCTCCAGTGCGCTGTGCGACCCCCTCACGAAGCCAACCCACGTCCAGCTGTGCAGGACCGGCATCCCTTGTCAGAGCTACCACACGAGCTTCTACGACTCAGGTACGAACCAGAGCTTAATGTCAGTGGACACGTGACACGTTCAGATTCTGACTGGACTGCGTTTTTAATTCGCGGTTCTGGACGACAGACGCACGGAAAACCTTACACACTGAAGTCTGCTTAGTTCTGAAAATTTAGATGGAGCTGTGCGTTTCTGCGAAACCTTGGTATTTCCATGGCGTAACAGTCCACAAGAATCTCATTCTCTGAGCCGTGAGAACCTCGAATGTTATTGGTAGTTGAGTCTATTAGGACAGTAATTTGCTGTTCGTTGTGGCCTTCAAAGTATGGACTGAAATTCGTAATCAGAGTGACGTGGAGCGTGTAATTTTTTTAAAAAAGATAAGGTTATCGAATTACATATAAATCCGGAAAATAATTTTTTCCGGATAGTAGTGCTTTATAGACCGCAAATGCTTGCTCCCACGGGATTTTTCGTCGCCCCCCCCCCCCCCTGACAAGTTCTTGTTGGCGAGAGGAAGTTATCCCACGAGGCAGCTTACACAAGGAACTTCGGTTGGATGGATGGATGGTAGTTTAATCCAGAAGGGCCCTGGGATCGCTTTGACCGATGGTCTCCACGACTTGGCCGTCTCTTTGCGCACAGCCTCAACACGCCGGTAAACAAATGGTTTCGGTGTAAGTCACGCACGGTTGCATAACTCAAAGGAGCAGCAAGTCTGTGTCACTCTCTTCTGTCTTCTAAGTAATGGAAGTCTTTCAAATTAATATTTGATTTAATCAAGAAGGTATTCGTTTTCCTCATTCCACACGATTCATCGTTCGATTTATTAACGCAGACAAGAATTCTCTTGATCCGGTCAACGTCATCCCTTCCCGGGGAGCCAGACGAAAACGAGAGTACGTTCTACCCGAGGAATGTCGCCTTCCAAATTCCCATTCCGCCACTACAATTAATGCCTCTAAATGCACGCGTGAGGACGTTGTGTGTGTGACGCATTCCGAGTTTGTTTATAAAAATTGAAGTCACTGCCCGCACTGAGCGCAATCATCGTACGTCGTAAGAAATTCTGTTCCCACCCGCGATCTCCCGAGGAATGTGTAGGCGTCGAAGGTGGAATTAATTATACTCTAAGTGGCAATGGAGAGGCGTTCGTAGTTGATGACTCACGTGTTTGTTCACGTCCATTAACAAGTTCCTTTTCTATCGACGTATTCCGAGGTGCAGGCGCCTGGAGCTTTAGGTTATTCGTTTACGGCTCTCATGTGAGCCGAGAGGAGAATTTGTATGATTTGCTCCTTTAGTGGGGTATTTGCTTTTCGCTGCATCCAAGGAATGCCAAACACGATCTCCCCTACTCGTTCTTACTGCAGAGGCGTGTCCTCGTCTTCACAGAATGCCACTTTGATGAAGATTTGACAGCGTGAGAACTGAAGTTGAATATCTGTAAAATGTAGGGCAGTTGCGTGTAGTTTCCATTTCTGAATTTTCCTCCTTTTTCCGACTTCAAGATGACGCGAATTACCATCTGGCGATGGGTCGTCTGATATTTTGGTGTCCTCTTGCTTCATAACTTAGTAAGACTTCGGGTAGTCAATTTGTTGCCATTTCTTAAACGTGTTGATGCCAATTTTCTTGTTACTTTCGTATTCTCTCTGTTAATTTGAATGTTTTAAATTGTGTACTTCGCTGTTTGATCTAGAATAGTAAATTCTGCTACTGAACATTGCATCTTCATTTTATCTGTCTCTGGTCCATTTTTCCCCAGCACAGGTCAACATGGGCACTGTCATTATTTTATGAAATTTTAATCGTGTGCTTTGCGAGTTGCTTTTTTTTTTGTCTCAGTGTTATTCGTATCGTTTCGCATATTCTCTAAAATTTATTTAGTTTAATATTTAAATCTTGATGCACGTTCTGTTACGTCATTATATATCGCTATCCATTTCTGTCTTTTGGTTCATAAGTAATGCAACAGTAAAATGCACGCTCTGTATATCGAATATCTATCGATTTTTATCGATTTTTTTTACAGAAATTCGTTGTTCTGTTTGCAGCTCCTCCTTCCCTGTAAATTTCCAATGAACATTAAATGGATTTTTCTTCGCAAACGAATTCACAGCCTCAGGGAACGACTAAAACCTAGGCATAGATGCGAAGATAATATTAAAATGTGCGTGTTAAAGAAATGAGATTGCTTGTGTCTGTGGAATGGATCCTTCAACTCAAGATGGGGACTAATGGGATGCTGTTGTGATCTTGGTAACAAATCCGTGGATTCCATGGGGGGACTGGCTGAGCTTCTCATGGGGGCCTCTGTTTCATCGAGTCAGCCTCCTTAGGTTTTTGGGGCTAATAGAAAAGGGCGTGCCCTGTGATGTTTCAGGGCCGGAAGGCCAGGAACAACTTCCAGGCGTAGACCACACACAGCCCCTGGTGCAGCCGTACCCGCCACCTGCCGGAGGGCCGTCGCAGCGCCCTGCGTCTGAGGGCCACGTCGCCACGGAGCTCGTTCCATCCAAATCAACGTAAGTTCCCTTTGTCCACGTGACAGCTGAACTGCCTTGTGTGAATTTCTAGAAGACAACTGAAAGTTTTTTTCCCGCCAAGAAGTAACTCAATGAGTTTCCCCTAACAATTAATTTCTTAGTAAACTTTCCTGTGAATTTGTGATTGCTTCTGAGTGCTCTAGGAATCTCGGCTGGCTTTCTGTGTCCCTTGCATTATACTGACTTATTCTTATTTTTCCCGGTCAATGTCTCAGATGTAACATAAAACTTAGTTTCGGTTCGAAAATTCCTTTCCGTCCTGCCTTTCTTTGAACTGGAGAATTTGCATCGCTGTTGCTGAACCCGGGACCTCCCGAATACGAAGCAGGGGTGCTTACCGCTCGAAGTACCACGACGTTTGGTCTTTTCGGAAATGGTTGCTTTCGTACTCGTGAGAACCTGAAATCTCACAAATAAAATCTCGTGTTGTTTCTGAACGCAATGCGTCATTAAACGGTCCCGTA